ACTTTTATTAACACTTTGGGAAATTTTCATACTCATATTCCAAGAACTGGATTTTATACGAATTTTTAAAACTTAATCGGCGAAAATTGCAAAATTCGAAAAAATTGTCGATCATTTCAAAAATTTATTTCTCAAGAACTGAAAGTGATTTTTCAAAACGGCTTTTTGCATTAAAAAGAGGATACTGTAATTAATAATTGGTGATATTTCCACAAGGATCTTTTAAGAAATTAAAATTATAGCGTGTCCAACACCTAAAAGAGATACTAATTCCTGTAAATGGTGGAGTACTAAGTAATAGGTTTTTAAAAGCCGGCCAGATACCGGATATCCGTTTCACCACTAGTCTCAGTTAAGTGCTGACATCTCAACTGTTCCATGCTCCTTCAAGTGTAGCCAATCCAACACCATTTCTTCTCCTTGATTTACTGTTCTTATTTCCCCAGCAAGACCTGGTAGCCTTGTACACTCTGTTTCTGATCTCTTCAGTAAGCTCGCCTGTCTGGTGGATTGTCGTGGATTGTATTGATAGTTGTTAATCTGGGTGAAAAGTTGACCATTACATCCTTCTTCAACATTTTGCTCCATTAAACTTTTTACCACTCGAGTCTAGCATGTTGCAATTTCTTCACATTTCTTTAGGAAGTATTAGCAGATGACACCGTGTTAACAAGTTTAGTTTGGATTATTTTTAAGGAAAAAGACATCAAAAAGAATAACATTTTCGAAAAGATCAGAAAATTTTAATCTAATTTAATGCATCTACCATAAAATTCACTTTGAAAAACATAAATGGCACAATCTTTTAGTGTTTTGTTTTCGGCCATTTTGATTTTGTAAAAATAAAGAAATCTTGGGTATCATAACACCTAGATATATCGAGTTTGGACTCATTTTTCATGATTTTTAATTATCTATCTAAATAAATATACGAATCATTCATTTTCATCTTCGATTTTATAAAAATAATAATTTAACAAAAACGTTTTTTCTATTTTCTACATGTTAATATTTTTAATATTATATTAATTATACGTAAATAAAGTTTAAATTACAACATTTTTACTAGAAATAAATAGTTAGTAACAATAATCCTTATCTGTTGATTAAAACCGCAGATTCTCCGATAAGAAATAACGTAGCATGTTCATTATATGGTTTATTTCTTTTTAAATCTATGTGCTATTTAGTATTACATTAAATTTTAAGCAAGGTGTTTCGTTTAGTTCGAAAACCGAAACCTTACACGTGTTATTTTCACCTGCTTTACGAATACGACGTCCGCCAAGTGCGCGTATGACACATAACTCGGTCGCTTCAAGTTCTCTTTAATGAAAGGTCTACCGTAAACGTTTTCAAGTGCGTGTGCAGTTTTCGTTTTAGTATCAACAACCGAAACGGTGTGTGTCGTTTTAAACGAATTCTTTTGTAGATAAAAATTGATATCTATCAATTCGTTATTATCTCGAGTAATTAAATCAATCTGTTAGAATTAAAATTAAGGTGAATTCGCAAAAATGAGGTTTCAATTTTGTGTGTATTTTGTAATTTTTGGTGTTATTGGATTTGTAAATTGTAAGTAAAAATGACACAACAATTTTAAAACGAATCGAGTTAATGAGGTGATAAGAGTATTTAAAAATATTTCTTTTAGGTTTAAAAAATGATGATGGTAATGTTGAAATTGATTTACCACCTGCGAGTGATATTGAAGAATCTGATTTAAAGGAAATTGATTTGACTCCAGGTGAAAATTTAATGATTTAATGTATTTAAAGGAAAAAATGATTTTGTTTTAGAATTATCGTTGTTGGAAAATATTGAGAGTGTTCCTAACACGGTGGAACCACAAGTTGTGGATCTCCAACCCACAGATTCTCCATTACTTCCTAATTATGAGGAAGCTGATGATATGGAATATGGGGGTTACTTCGAAAATCGTACAGTTTATACGTACAACGATTCAGTTTTACTTCACGAAGAAGAAGAATCGAAGGAGAAATCTGAAACGAAACCACAAGCGGAAATGAAATTTTCTGACCCTATCCAAAGTAACCTCAAGTATAACGTTGAATGGATTGAGAGTGCAGATGAGAACACCGTTGACATTGACGTTGTTCGTTCGCGACCTTTAAACGTGGTTGAAACGTGGCCTTGGATTCTTACCATGACTGTTGTAGGGACCATGTTCGTTCTTGTACTTGTTGGGAGTATGATTTGCTATAAATTATTAACGTATGTATTATAAAAAAAAATATTGAAACAATAAAAATATTAAAAAAGGCGTTCTGAAACTAAATTAGTGTGATTCATGATTGAGTCAAATCTATATAAGGAATTAAAATTTTTTTTTTTTATAGAAAAAGGTATAATAATCGAGAAAAATTGATAAATGAGGAAGATATGATTGACCCTAATGATATGAAAAATTTTTCTGTAAGTTTCATAATTAAATTAAATTAAAACTAATTTTGACATTTTTTAGTTATAAATAAGGAGATTGAAGAGAATAAAGGAGGCGAAATAGATTATTTGTTCCTCGTTCAAAAAAATTTTTTTTGTGAATTGTGTTGTAAAATATTCTCTTAACTTTAAGTCATAATTGTAATTATACTGTAACAATCAATCAATTATTAGGTAGTATTTAAAAATAAAACCATAAAAGAATTTTTTTGTTTCTTATCAAGTCAATAATTCTTCATAAATGTAAAATTTTTAATCAACAATAAATTTAACTATAAAAACGTGCATATTGAGTTGTCTAATTTCTTTTAAAACAATTCTGCTTTCGACATGCATCCCTGTTTGGTAATCCTTATGTTTGGACTTGGATATTCTGGCCAATCTTCTCTCATCTATTCTTTCCACCTTTTGTCCTTTTTACTACATCCTGTATGTTACATCTTTCATTGAGAAAGGTGTTGATTTCACAGATTTCATCCCTTTCGGCCGGATATCCGATTAACCGGCTATTCCAAGAACTGGATATTATACGAATTTTTAAAACTTAATCGGCGAAAATAGAAAAAATTGTCGATCATTTCAAAAATTTATATCTCAAGAACTGAAAGTGATTTTTGAAAACGGGTTTTTGCATTAAAAAGAGGGTACTTTAATTCATAATTGGTGATATTTCCACAAGGATCTTTCAAGAGATTAATATTATAGCGAATTTTGAAAGTTATCGATGAAAATTGCATCATCGAAAAGTTTATCAAAACTTCAAATATTGTTTTCTCAAAAACTAAAAGTTATTTTTTAAAACGGGTTGGTTCATTAGAAAGAGGACACTTTTATTAACATTTTGGGAAATTTTCATACTCATATTCCAAGAAATCGATTTTATACGAATTTTTAAAACTTAATCGGCGAAAATTGCAAAATTCGAAAAAATTGTCGATCATTTTAAAAATTTATTTCTCAAGAACTGAAAGTGATTTTTCAAAACGGCTTGTTGCATTAAAAAGAGGATACTTTAATTAATAATTGGTGATATTTCCACAA